TGTATTACTGGGCAGCAAGTATGCAAATGCAAAGGAGTGCCTAGCAGAATTACATGTGCAAATTCAAAGCTGCATTTTGTGGTCAAGTCCTTGGATACAGCTTCCCAAATCTCTATTATGTTTCCCAGCATAGTTTTAAAATACAAGTCAAGAGACCAAATACTTTTCCCTTTCAGAGGTATCTCTTCTGCTTGGCTTAATTTGAAGAAGACTGTACTATTACTTAATGCAAAAAAACCCAAAAAACAAAAAACCTTAAATTAGAGAGTTTAGTGTCACTTTATTTTAGTTTTTGATAACTCCATCTCCATTGACCAGGGCATTAAACTGACAACAGTGCATTGCTGCTTTGAATTTTTGTAGTGTGTTAGATCAGCTTTCATCACCTCCAATTCCTGTGTAACAAATGAGAGGTAGTTTGACTTCTACACGTTAATTAGGTCATTACTAATAGGATGTTATAGAGCTCTTTGAGCCACAAGTTTCTAAATGAATAAAAATCCTTTGTCCTTAAATTAAATTTACCTAAGTCAATTTATAGACAGAATTGAAAACTTTTTAAAGCCAATATTATTTAGGAGCAAACAAAAGGGCAGTACTATTACAAAAAAAAACCCTTAAAAGATGTACTTTAAAATATTCAAAAAATAATTGTAATGGAGATTCTGGCTTTAATGTTGTAAATCACAAAATAGTGTTTATTCAATGTATTTTATACCATAGATTCATAGATTTGTGAAGAATATTCCAGAATAAAAACAATGATAACAAATCAGCCACTTGATGTAATTTAAGAAGCAAAGAAAGATATAGAATTTTATTTTAATATATAATTATTCTTAGTTTTAAGTATCATGATTCTTTTTGTTTAAACAGTTGTGAGAATCACTTAAAAATATTCTGTTGTTAATAATAAGTACCGTGTGTCAAATTCTGTGGAATACGTACGTTGCACACAGTTTGTTCTATTTGGTCTCTCTCACAGCTCAATAAGGATATTAACATTGCTTTCATTTTACAGCAGTCTGAGACGTAAGCATATTAAATAACTAATATGTTGTCCTATACCCACAAAATGTCAGATCTAAGATTCAAGTCTATGTAAGGACAAAATGCTGTTTGTAAACACTGTGTAATACTAGCTGTTCTAAAATTATAACCAGGGATGCACTACAGGACAGTGTAGGTAAAGTTATAGTTCATCAGTGTTGTTGAATTTTGTAAGTGTTACTCCATGACAAAGCAGAAGGGGATATATATGTAATGCTTCCATTCTCTGACACAAAACATTTCCTTTGAAGTCACCAGTTAGCTAGTATGGATCTTAGTTGACCATTTAGCAAAAGTTAAAATGTAATGTCAAACTTCATTGGTTGGATTTTTTTTATTAGATAAGGTAGAAATGAAAGCAGCAGGCAATTTAATTAGCAGTAATTTTTCTGGGCAAGTCATTACTTTGATGAACTTCAGAGCAATGTTTATGGCTCCTAATTAACCCTGTTAGTCATTTGATTGAATAATCACTTTGGAAATGTTTCTACAATTTGATTAGAGTCTGACCCACTCTGATAGTCATAAATTAACTGATATCACTTTAGGATAACATGACTTTAGTTACTTTATGGGAATAAACCTCTTGGCTCTATTTTTTCAGGCTTCTCTAGACTGTATAAAGGACACCAATTTTAAGGAGAAACTAAATTTAAGTAAATGCTAGCCAAGTGTCTCAAGTTTTAAGTTCTACCTGCTAATTTTATTTACCCTGCAGTATAATAAATAGTAGTAGGATTTGACAAAACACAGTCCTTCATTGCTTTTTGGTTGCTGTTATTTTAAGAGTATAGATCACAAATTCAACCTTTAGAAATATAACATTTCTGTCATGTCATTAATTTATTATGAGTCTTAAATCGATATATTTTAAATATCACAAATGAATAGCTAGAATTTTTGAAGAACATTAGAGTATAAGTATAGTAATGAACAAATCAGCTATTTCAATGATAACACGAATGTCAGTGAAATTTATGCATCCATTGTGTGACCTCTGATCTGTAGTTTTCTTTCTTTTTCTTTCTTTCTTTTTTTTTTCCCAGTCCTGGGCTTGAACTCAGGACCTAGGCACTGTTCTTGAGACTCTCTGTGCTCAAGGCAAGCACTCTATCACTTTGAGCCACAGCGCCACTTCTGGCTTTTTCTGTTGATGTGGTTCTGAGGAATCGAACCCAGGGTTTCATGTTTGCTAGGCAAGCACTCACATTCCCAGTCTCAGATCTGTAGTTTTCTAAGATGAGGCTGATTTTGTATGAAACTAAAATTCTTTTTTAAGGTGTTCCTTCTGGTTTGAATAGTGGGTTTCACAGAATGTTTGCATTGCTTCTCTTCCTCTTTTTCTCTCCTCAGGAAAGGAAAGACTGCATTTAGTCACACTTATATGTAATCCAGTTGAGGTATAAGTTTTCCTCAAGCTGCCTCTGGAGCTAGCCAGCTGTTTTTATCGCCGTTTTCCAGGTGTGCAGCAGTCAGTAAAAGTATTTTGTGGCTGGGTGTCAGCATTGTGTCAACAAAATGTTGGCCTCCTAGCAGCTGCTAAGCTGATGGCAGTCATTACCATTGTCCCTTCCAGACACAGTGGCTTTGAGGGACCGTATGCCTTGCAATAAATCAGAATAATGCTAAGATAAATTTGAAGGTCATTAGTTAAAAAAAAAAGTTGAGATGAAGTGGATTGCTAACTAATGGGCAACTCAAAGATAACCATGTAACCATAAACCTTGATTTATAAATGTTGCTATCAGCAGTCTTCTGCATTTTGTAGAGCCAGAATTCTATATTCTACAATAGTTAGATTAAAAAAGGCATCGTAAAATATAATAAAATGTTTGATAATAGATCCTACAGGATTTTCCCCCTTTCTAAACTATGCTATTATTTTAAATCTTTGTAGTGCCAGGTGTAGACCTTAGGGCCTTGTACATGATTTAAACAGTCATTCTACCACCGAGGTAAATCCACAGCCCCCTGTATATTTAAAGTATTGTTAATGTTATGGATTATCATTAAGATTTTTTGAAAAAATTAAAATCACATGAATCAAACTTTTCTGGGATTGGAAAGCCCCTCATATTTTGGTTGATATTGATCATAGCATTCCCCCCCCTAAAAAAGGAAAGAAATCATTCAGCATTAGGTAAAAACTAAAAAAAAAAATCATAATGACTTTAAAGATAGAAAATTCTAGATCAAGGAAAGTTTTCATCTGAGTGAGATATACAGTAAAATGTCATGTACAGATGGATAACTATGAAGTAATAATGTCTTTACATATCACTTTATTTCCATAGTATTTATTAATTATTTAGGGATCATGTGCTTCCTGTAAATGATGGGAAGGGAAACGTTTTTCAATAGCACTCTTACCACATTCATTTTGAAATTTAACTTAATAATTTAATTTAATTTAAACTTAAGACACTCGCAGTCTGTACAGGTAATAGAATTGAGTTGGTCACATATATTTACCTATTCTTGTAGCCCCAGTACTTCTTATATAGTGGGTGGGGGCATACACTGATAAGACCTGGAAATTTCAAATTTGCGCAGTATTTTAAAAGAAAATTCTTTAAGAAATTACAAAGTTATGTAAAAAGCTTTAGAAAGGGCTCTTAAAAAAGTGGGGATCCTGAGGTTCAAACTTCATTAGCTTTATAATGAATATACCTCTGAATATACAGTTTGTCTGTTTATTTGTGCTCGTACTTGGGCTTGAATTGAGGGCCTTGCTTAACATTTCTCTCAAGGCTGAATTTCTGACAATCAAGTCATGTCTTTATTTCTGGCCTTTTGTTGGTTATTTGCCAATAATAGTATATTACATTTTTCTGCCTTGTTGACTTTGAACTGGAATCCTCAGATCCAAATCTCCTGATAGCTAGTCTTACAGATGTGAGCAACTGGCACCACTACATTCATGGATTTTCCATAAGGCATTTAGCTTAATTAGTAAGATGAAAACTTGAATTTTAATACTTTTTTCTTCTAATCCATGTTGTTTTTTTTTCACAGCTAAGCTACTAAAGACATTCATGTGGGGCTGGGAAGGTGGCTCAGTGGTAGAGTGCTTGCCTTGCATGCATGAGGCCCAGGGTTCGATTCCTCAGCACCACATAAGCAAAAAGAAAAAAAAAAGCCGGAAGAGGCGCTGTGGCTCAAGTGGTAGAGTGCTAGCCTTGAGCTGAAGAACTGAGGGACAGCGCCCAGGCCCAGAGTTCAGACCCACGACCGGACCCAAAAAATAAAAAAAATTAAAGACATTCATGTGTAGTCATTAGTCTCTCAGCTTTAGCCATTAACCAAATTTGCTTACTCAGTGATGAAATCCTTCCATCATATAGGCCAGGTCTCACTTTCAGGGTAATGTGTCATATGAAATTGTTATATGTCTGCTTTATATCTTCATTGGCTCAGAATACAAATTATGTTCTTACCACAATGAAAACCAATGATCTTTCAACTAAGGAAAATATAGCGATTGTCTCTAAAGTAATTTTAGAAATTTAGATATTTTATCTTTCCATAATCATTTCTGTTTAGTTTTCAAAAAAATAAACCACAAATAAGCCCTCTTTCTTTCTTCTTTTTCTTCTTCTTTTTCTTTGTACATTGAATGCCATGGGATATATATTCTAAAAAAACGTCCTGAGCTATATATATAACTCATGATACTGTTTGGAGAACAGTATGACAATTGTGTGGTATTGTAACGAGAGTGGAACTTTAGCCAGATTGATTTGGGACATTTCTGAGTTCTCATGATTAATCAAGAGAATCAGTGCTCACCATGATACACTAATTCTTCCATTTCAAAGGTGGTTCCTGCCTGAAATGCGAACCACACATGCCATTTCCGTAACTTTTCTATCTGCCTGCGATCTGTCTGTTGGTACTGGTGTTCTTCCCATGGCACACAGGTTTCTAACCAATGTCACTTCCTCTTTCAGAAGTGCCTAGCTGCCACTCCATTTACATGAGGCAAGAAGGCTTCCTGGCTCATCCCAGCAGAACAGAAGTTAAGTCTTCTATTTTCTAAATTCCTTGTAAATAACATTCAAAATAACCATACATTTCACTGACTTGGTCTTTGGAAAAAATTCATTTATGTGCTCTAAACTATTATTTTTTAAAAACTTTCTTTTTCAAACTGTAGATCTTTCAGGTCTTGATAGCTTGCATTTGGATGTTAGCATGAGTCATATATACCTGCAAACAGATGAGAATGCATTTCTGTGTTTTGGGTGTTGTTTTTTTTTTTTTTTTTTTTTTTTAATTGAAATAATTTAATTGAAATATGGTGAAGTTGTTTTTTGTTTTTGTTTTTGTTTTTGTTTTTCCAAGAACTGCATTTCTTTAAACTAGAACATGTGCTTTATAAATTAGCTCACCTTATTGCATTCTATCAAAATATAAAAATACTCGTTTCCTGTAAGCCTAAGACAGTCTTTTGAAGTAAAGCAAGATTTAAATGTTTTTATTTTTAAGTGTTTTGGATTCTATACTTTTGAAAAATCAGTGATTTAGAATGAAATTTTGCATAAGATGTTTGAGATGTGTTTGTGGTAACTGGCAGGAAGCTTTTCTGTGAGACACTTTGACATCTGCATTGTAGTCAAAAATTATTTCATTTGATTATTAGATATATATATGTGTATACATATACGTATATATGTATATATATATATTCTTGACCTAAACACTGCTTTTTCAGTAAAGCTCACTTAGATGCATCCTTTTAAGTTAGGACTACTATTGGTTATTTTATATAAGTAGAAAATTGAAATATTAGATAAAAGGATAAGTCTAAAATATGAGAGATCTAAATGTTTGCACAAATGCATTATAATTGTTGTTGTGGTTGATGCTGTTAATTGTATATAACCACCATAGAGACTGATGCATTTGAGAAATAAAATAACTTAAGCTAGCTGTGTACATGTAATCCTAGCTACTCAGAAGGCTGAGATCTAAGGATCACTGTTAGGAGCCAGCTGGGGAAGGAAAGTCCGTGAGATTCTTATTTCCAATAAGCCATTATACCCTGCTTTACCCCCATCCCCCCAAAAAACCCCACAACAAACAGAAGTAGAGCTGAAGCTCAAGGGGTAGATCACTAGCCTTGAGCAAAAACACTTAGGAACATCTCCTAGGTGGAGCTTAAGCTCCAGGACTCAACTAAACAATAATAACAACAAAACACCAAACAAACTTTAAGTTAAATGAAATTTCCTCCTTATAATGAGAGATGACAATTATATTTTGTTTTCTTCTTTGTCCTCTCCTTCTTCTTCTCTTCTCTTTATTCCCCCCAGTATCTTGGCTATTAATGATGAGGTTAGCCTACCTAGATACTTCTACAAAGATGTGAGAGAGTAAAGTAAATCCTTGCAAACCATTCAGGAATAATTCAGGAGGATACCAATAATTCACTTTGATTCTCCTCTCCTCTTTTGAAGAGAAGATTTTCATTTTCTTATTGAATAATGAAACTAAGAAGAAACTGGAGAAGCAGATGACATAGTATAAAACAAAGGTTTGCCAATATTTATGAGGTTTATGCCTGAGTCAGTAATAATGTAGACAAGTGATGTTGATCTGTCACTGTATGCTGGATACCATTCTATACCCTAACACTTTAAATTTAATCCCCACAAGAGCCTCATCAAATATTAGCAGGTGATGTTATTTTACCCCATACCATACATAAGGCAAATGTGTCTAGGGTTAGAAGGTTGTAAGTTGGAAGAATTGTTTCCTTACCACAATTTTTGTTGTTGTTACATTTAAAATGTTTATGACCTTTGTTTCATATTCTGTCATGAATAAATGTATGTATTCCTCCTCTACAGGCTGTATGTTTGAAAAGGGACCCAGGCAGTTTTATGATGACACCTGTGTTGTCCCAGAGAAATTTGATGGTAGGTTTCTCACTGTGTTGCAAGCTTTGATTTTTGTTAAGAGACAGTGGAGACATTACCCTTTCTGTTTCAGAAAACAGTTGCTGTCCTTACTTAAATATTTCTGTGCACAACATTGATCAATTCTGGTTAAACTTGACTGAGGACTGTTTCTACATTAAGCACCCTTGATGTTGTTCTATGTGAGAGTTCATTTTTGGAAAGACAGCCAAAGAGCATCATTCTTGCTGAGCTTTGTGGGGAGGATCTTTCCATTGCCCTGCTGGGCACATTTCAGCTTGTTATTGGAAATTTATTGAAAGCTGATCTTGTAATTAACAAAGCACAGCAGAGTGAATGTTGCTGTGGATGCACTGATGACTAATGCAGTCCTTTTCTCGTTGTTCATGAAAAGATGCATTATGGTGCATAGAACAACAGAACCACCCATTTATTTAGTGACTTAGTGATTGTCACTGCCTCATCACCCCCAGGAAGATGTACATTACCAATGTAACATTACTTTGTCTTTGTTTAAAAGGAAGTTAAGAAACATTTTTAAAAATATTTATCACTGTTTCGAAGAAAAAGTCCCAGATATTAGAAAAGTGTATCAAGTTAGAGTCTTGTTCTTGACAATAGTGGCAAAAGCCAGCATTTATGAGGAAGCTTGGGTAAAAAGTGAACAGTTAATTCATTTAGTGGTCTCTCTATTTCCTGCTTTGATTGTTAAACAGGAAACGAGCAGGGGCCCTCTGATTAGCTGATTGCACAAACTTTAGGGATCATGGCTGTAATGATTTGGGAGCTCTCAGAGGTTTTAATTGTCATTATTTAAACAGCAAAGTACATGCTCCGATTGCTTTTCAATCTGTAATTAGTTTCTTGAAAACTCTTCTATGTTCCTAAGCTTTTTGCTACTCTTAATATGCTGATACTTTTCAAAAAAAAAATGGCAAGTCTCAGGAAAATGTTTCCTAGCCCCCATTAGCAATGCTAAATTTATACAAGGTTCCAGTGGGGGTCACTTTTGGCTTTATTCTACAATCTGATTTTCAGCCTTGTTTCATAGGTGTGAACTGTGCTGTTAAGTACAATTAACAGAGCATCAGAATACTTAGAACACAGCCTTTTCTCCTGAGACAAAACTTCCACTTTTGGCTTTTTGACCAGTCACTTTCATCTATAGTGAGCATCACATTTTTTTTTTAGCAATGTTAAAATTGCTAAGGACCTGGAAATTGTCGACAAGATTATGTTATAATCCACAGGCCACAGTCACATAAAAGTTAAGGGAACTAGCAGCCTTGATTATTTATTCCCGAAGTTAAATACTCTTCAAGTTTATACTGAGAAAACATGTTTTTGAAAGATAGCATTTGTCTTGCATTTTATTATAAGTAATGGAAAACTAGAAGAAAGAAAAACAGAAGGGTATTTTTTCATTGCATATGGCCAGTGCAAATCTGTCACGTTTAAAGGCAGAAAGCACTGTAGAAACTATAAAATTTAACAGTGTTTCACTCTGTCTGCATAATTGCTCAGTTACTTCCATGGGAAAAAAATTTGTAAATCTCAGAAAGAAAAACTGAGATAAATAAAACTGTCTTTGAAATCAATATGAGCATGCACTCCTCTGTTCTCTAGTTATGGACAAAATGATAATGATTTTTAGCAGCTATTGACAGAACAATCTGATATTTAGTTTAATTCTTAAAGTAATGCTCCTTCTGTAATTATTCAAAAGGTATATTTCTTTTTACAACTGTATTTTGTAGTTGTACAAAGGGATTTCAATTCAACATGTCGGCTAATGAGCACAATGAGTCCTGATCAGTTCCTCCCACCATCATTTTCGCTCATCTCTCCCAAACCCATCTTTCTCCCCCAAGTTGCCCAGTTCCATTTTCACATATATGCATTGGATATTGTGATTGTTTTTCCTGCCATTCCAAAGTTTTTTTTTTTGGGGGGGGGAGAGGGGGGGTCCAGTCGTGGGGCCTGAACTCTGGGCCTGATTGCTGTCCCTCAGCTCTTCAGCTCAAGGCTAGCACTTTTACCACTTGAGCCACAGTGCCACTTCCGGCTTTTGTTTTTTTTCTGCTTATGTGGTGCTGAGGAATCGAACCCAGGTCCTCAAACATGCAAGGCAAACGCTCTACCACTGAGCCACCTTCCCAGCCCCACTCCAAAGTTTTATATTTCTATTGACGACAGTAAAATTCCAGAAAGCCCTTGAGTTAGGTGTCTTTGTTTGTTTCTTTAACAATTTTGTACTTAGTGTGATTTGCTTCAGTATATTTGGTTTGAATCACTTCACTCATTAACAACAATATATTGGCACGGCCCTACGTACTGAATCCCCAATGTTACCAGTTCCTCATATTTTTGAGATTGTTGGCTGGATATGGAAGTAAATAGTCAGCAATCACAGTACTATGTTGTTTTGTAAAGCTCAGCTTTACAGGAGAAGAATTAAGTGCTAGCTCCTCCATTGCCCCCTCATTTTTTTATGATGACCAAATGTAACACCAACAAATTTTTCTTACTTAAAATATAGATGTTTTAAATGGAGAGTTCCATCTATACATATAAATTATCTGTTTAAAGTATTTGTGCATAGGGGTTTCAGTTCAGCATATCAGTTAATGAGCATAATGCATCTTGATCATCTTTCTCTCCTATGTATATATTCTTAAATTGGACTTTCAGTAAAAAAAAATAAGCAAATCCAAATGAACTTTGTTTGGGAAATACAAACAAGAGATATAGAAAAATGAGAGCAAATTATAGTTTGCAGAATTTATACAAATAAAATGCCCAGAGCTTAAAATTGATTATTCTCTCTTCTGTGTTGCTAAGAGTAGTGAATAATAGCATTAACAATAACAGCAACAAATATGATTATGCAGTATGGCTTAAGAAAAACCAATGACGAAAGGATAATTATACAAACTTTTTGTAAGTAAATGGTATTTATGAATTTATTTTAAACTGGTGTACATTTGTATTGCTTTGATATATTATGTCTGTTAAGGTTTTATAGATTTCTGGCTTATATTCACATAATTCCTGTAAATCTCTTTAATGATGACATTACATTTCGTGGCAACTTATAACGAAGTTGTGTTTGACTATTGTCATAATTGTGATATATATTTGTTGCATAAACTGATTTTATATAAAGAGTATAACATTACTGTTAATAATGGACACTTTTTTTTTAATTTAGGGGACATCAAACAAGAGCCAGGAATGTATCGAGAAGGGCCCACATACCAGCGACGGGGGTCACTTCAACTCTGGCAGTTTTTGGTAGCTCTTCTGGATGACCCTTCAAATTCACATTTCATTGCCTGGACTGGCCGAGGCATGGAATTTAAGCTGATTGAGCCTGAAGAGGTTGGTTTAGTAGAATTTAGTTAAGAAGATAAGATACCTGATATATTTAGAAAGAAACGGATACATTTGATTCATATACCGAGCTCACCATTTCTTTTCTTTATTTCTAAGACATAGAATACTTTAAATTATAAAAAGGCTTAGCCTGGCGCTAGCAGTGCATACCTATAATAATAGCTATTCAGTGGTTTGAAGCCAGCTTGAGCAGGGACGTATGTAAGAGTCTTATCTCCACTAAATTTATAAAATGCCAGAAGTGGAGCTGTGGTTCGAGGGGTAGAGCACTAGCTTTGAGCAAAAGAAGCTTAGGGACAGTGCCCGGGCCCTGAAATAAAGCCCTAGAGCTAGCATCCACCCTCGTATACACTTGTGTACACACACACACACACACACACACACACACACACACACACACACACACACACAGCAGACAGGCTTAAAAGAACAGTGCCTACATTTAAAATTAATTATTATTGTATTGTGTGGGATTTCCAATTGAATGTCATACTACAGAGTTGATAGGAAATCAACCAGCACGTTATTTATATATGCCATTTGCCCTTATTCAGAAGGTCTGGGCTACTAAGGTTTGTAACAGTGCATGTTATGGTCCTTAAGTGGGAGAAGAGAGATCTTTCTGCTGTATCCCAAATATTCTTTGAATGTTAGCATTGTTCTTTTAAATTAAATTCTTTATTTTGACAGTCTGATTTTACCAACAGAGCTGGAGAATATTTTATATCAAGTCCAAGAGGGGCTGGGGAAGAACAGCTGTGGGAGATTAGGGCGTGCAAGAGTACACTTTTGACCAACTGTACAAATATCACCTTCACCTCACTCCTTGCCCAGCAATGCACACACAAATGGAATATTTCTATGAAGGGGGATTTCCATGAAAAATGTCTATTTTGAATTTTTAGTCTCTCCAAGATTAAGTTTATATTTAAGGCTATGATTGTTATTGTAGCATGATCCATCCATGGCCTTATCAACCTCCTTGCAAAGGTGACAGTTCTATGAGATTTTTGTGTCTCATTAAAGATGTTTCCTCTGTTACTACTCCAAAATTTACTTCCTCTTATATTAGCCAAGAAACCAGTGGAAAATTTTATATTTTTTTATTATAAAAATACTGTACAGAGGGGTTACAGTTTTATGAGTAAGGTTATGAGTACATTTCCTATTGAGCATTGTTGTCTCCTCCTTTGTTTTTCCCCTACCATCCCTTCCCTCCCACCTCCACAACTACATCCCCCCCCCCCCCAAAAAAAAAGTTGTAAAGTTTGTTTTCAGCATAGTGTCTTATACATCTCATTGTTACAATGGGTCAACCTGTATCCCTATTTAAGCATTTTGTTTTTTCCCTTCCCCTTACCGAATTAGAGAAGTGTATATGCAGGGCATCAACATCCAATACAGTGAAAACAAGAGTTACACCATGGAGGAAGAACATACAAAGAAACAAAAAAAAAAAACACATGGTACATTATAAACATGTTAGAAACAACAGCAAGAGAGAAAACTAATATTTGTGTCCCTATCTTAGGGTTCATTTCACTTAACATCATCTTATATGGTCATATGCACATAGCTTTTGTGGGAAATGTTTAACTAACATGATTATGACCAGTTGTATGGGCTACTGGTTCTAAACACATCAGCAATGTTAAAAAAAATGCTCAGCAGCATTGAAAATATTTTGAACTCAAAGTAATTGGTTTCATAAGTACTGGCTATACACCTTAAATTTCATGGGTTCATTAATCAACATATTCAACATAATTTGTAAATGTACTCTAAATTATATAAGAGATGACCTGTTTCAGGATTAGAGATACAGCTCAATTGCAGAGCAATTGCCCAACATTCACAAGTGTACAAGGCCCTGAGTTTAGTCCATAATATATGAGAGAGAGAGAGAGAGAGGAGGGTACAAAGAGGAGGGAGAGAAAAAGATATAGGAAGAGGACAAGGTGATAGGGACAGATCTGCATTAAGAATATATTAATAAGAAGAGCTAGTTAGTGCAATTTTGCTCATCCACGTTGCATCAGTGCTCTTGTTGTACTAAAGAATTAGTTTGTTGGAAGTGGCTCAAGTGATAGAGTGCTCTCCTTGAGTTGAAGAGCTCAGGCCCAGAGTTCAAGCCCCACAAAAAAAAGAAAAAAAGAGTTAGCCTTTCAGGGACACACACACACACACACACACACACACACACACACACACACACACACACACGGCTCAATGGGTATTTAAATTTTGCATTGTGCTTAGAGTTCAATTTGACTGTTAAAGAAAATTAGTTTTTCTGCAGATGTACTTAAATGATGTAAGGACAAGACCTACAAAAATGTGAAGCATTGACAAACCAAGACTAGAAATACTTCACAGATTATTTTCAAAGCTTCAATCAGATACTCAACAATGGCGATGTCATTCAGACAATGACTGTGATGTCTTGTTAAAATTTCTTCTTTGGAAAGAGTTTGTGAAATCCTTTAGCTCCTTTACTACATAGGAGATCTTTTTTATTTATTTATTTATTTATTTTTATTGTGAAAATACCATACAGAGGGGTTACAATTACATGGGCAAGATAATGAGTACATTTCTTATCAAGCATTGTTGCCTCCTCCTTTGTTTTAAGGTGTATATCAGCACAATCCATCAAGAAGTCTCTAAATCCATCATGCTGGATTTACTCATAGGTTTCATTTCTTTGTATTTCATCTTTCAGTTTAAAATGATTTTAAATGACATGCCAGAACGGTGCTAATTATGTGCTTAGTGTGTTTGGATAACCTTAGCAAACATACCATCTTTAATATCCCTCTTTTTTGAGACATGCAAGATAATGAGGTATTATTTTCAAATCATTCAATAATCCTAGGGAAATGTCCCAGGATACAGTTATTAACACAGTTTATTGGCTATTTCTTTTTGAAGTTTTGTATTTATTTTATTTTAGTTTTTACATCATGTAAATGTGTTTAGTTAATTTTATCATTAAGGAATAGGAGAAATGTCACTGATATTGTAAGATAATGTTTTCCTGATAATTTCAGTGCTTCTCTTTTAAACATAAATGACTAATGAATAGAGTGCTTTCAAAACAATGAGGAAAAGCTGAGGAGTGAATAGTTATTGTGAAACTTCATCTGGACATAGCACATTGTGTTATAAAATTTAACTTAAATGAAGGAGTTATTTTAGTATAGCAAGGCAAAGTGGGGAGAAAAAAATTTAATAAGAGGGAGAAATATTTCCTGTTCTCCTCATGAGAAAGGGGAATAAAGATTCAAAATGATGGCACTTGTCACCTGTATAGTCTTTTTTTTTTTTTTTTGGTAGTACTGTTTATTTATTTATTTATTTATTTTATTGTGAGAATACCGTACAGAGGAGTTACAACGACATGGGCAAGATAACGAGTACATTTCTTATCAAGCATTGTTGCCTCCTCTTTGTTTCCCCTTCCCATCCCTTCCCATACTTCCCACCTCCCCCCACTCAAACCCCCCCCCCCCCCACACCAAAGTTGTAAAATTCGTTTTTCCACATAACGACTTATAATCTTTGAGGTAGAAGAATACACATGGTCCTGTTGTATAGAAATTCCCAAATCCTCAGGCAATGCTTTTCTGTGAGTACTGTTTGCCATTTTAAACCATACACTGTGATACAGGACTACACAAAACACAGAGAGAATACCTGTGACTTTAGGACTTTACCAAGCACACCTTCCAATTCTCTGACTCTTCACTTCCCTTAAAATGTTTATATATGTGTGTATGTGTGTGTATGTGTGTGTGTGTGTGTGTGTGTGTGTGTGTATATATATATATATATATATATATATATATATATATATTAGATTTAGTCTCCATTTCCTAGTCTTAAAACTTCTAAAAGTAGGTGTGGTAGGAGGGAGCTAGTTGCAGTTTTATTCATATTTTAACTCTTGGTTTTAATAACTGAGTCTTGCCATTTTAATATCTACTAATTTAAAGTTTCATTTTTCTACCTACTTTATTTTCTTAAATATAGAATAATACTCATAAGACTAAGAATTAGCTACATCATAATTGGCAATCAAGTTCTGTAAAAATTACCTTTCTACATCTTTTTTAAAAATTATACTTCCTTCTTCAGAGACAACTACAATATAACTTTAAAAATTATTATGAGCATTTTTTTAGGTGAATCCCAATGAGTTTCTAAGAAATAATCAGCTGTAAATAAATAAGAATACAGGACTTGCTGTAATTTAAGAGACACTAACAACTTTCACGTCCCTTCAAGGTTTAGTCACTCTAAAAGTTTCAGTGATGTCTGATACATTTTTGAAAGATTTCATTTCTTCCTGCCACCTTTTCCTTTTAGACAGAATATTTATGAAAAAACACATTGTTTAAATAGGGATACAGGTAGACCCATTGCAACAATGAGAAGTACAAGACTGTATGTAGGAAAACAAACTTTACAGCTTTGGGCGGGGGGGGGGGGGGGGGGGGGGGGGGGGGCGGGGGAGATGGGAAGGGGAGACAAAGGAGGAGGCAACAATGCTTGATAAGAAATGTACTCATTACCTTGCCCATGTAATTGTAACCCCTCTGTACAGTATTTTCACAATCAAAAAAAAAAAAAGAAGTGTGTGTTTTATACATAAAGAAGTGTCTGCACTGTTATTATTGGTTTTGATATCTGGTCTTATTCCTGTTACATCTATATCTCTTAAGAAAACATATTGATGCATGTAATTAGAGGACATTATAGCATCATTTAGCAAACACAAATTAAGAGAAAAATAGAAAAAGATATATGTTACTGAAAGAAAAAGAAAACCCTAGAGAAAGATTATTGTTAATAAAGAGAGATATAGAATGACCTACTAGAAAGCTATTTTATGGCGAATGGGATGTGCTCAAGTAAGAAAGCTGCTATTTAAGCAAGTGTGAGGCACTGACTTCAAACCCCAGTACCGCCAAAAACAAAAACCCAAACTTATTTTTTAAGAAAATTAATAAAAAGGAAAATGTGTTAGAAAAACAACTTGGAGTCTCTTAGAAATAAACAGACACTACCCTACGTGATAATGTTCTCTTGGGGTTTTTCACAACAGCTGAGATTTTTTTTTTGCTCAGCCTAATAAGATGTTGAAAGGAATGTCTTTAGCTGGGTTAGCAGAAGCAGGCCGTAGTATTCTGTACTCAGTGTTCCCCTAACCCAATGTGGAGATGAGTGAGGGAGATTCATATGTTGAGGAGCAAGGTGTTTTTTGTTTGTTTTGTTTTGTTTTTAAAGCCTTGCTAAAGAGCTTTGCCTTAATTAGACAAATTGCTTTGGTAAAGCTACATATTAAAAAATGGAGGATTTTCACTAAACAACAAAAGAGGACATTCTACTCTCAAAGGTTTGCTTCATGACTCATATCCATGGTGACCTTTTCCACTTCCTTCTTACTTAAAGCATTCAATTACAGTCCCAAGAATGAATGTTTAATTCACCAGTTTGGTGCTGGCAACAAAATTTCATTTGGATGCTGCTTGAGGCAATGAAAATTATTTGTGGTTCATTTTGTTAATATGTATACTGTTTTTACTCCTATCCACACTGCCTCTCCATTCTCTTGCACAGAACTGAGCAGGCTCTCTTTTCTTTGTTAAGAAGTCCTTCAATAAATCACCGTTACAAAGAGATCATTAAGCTGTTCTTAATCTATAGTTTTTGTCTAAAAACTAAGAAGGAAAAAGCAGTGTTCTCAGAATGGAAAACTTGCCTCATTTTGGTCAATTGCAGCTTGTTCATTTCCGTTGTAAACACACCCCTTATTTCCATTTTATTTATTTATTTTTACTCCAAAACAATAGTGACAAAGAATTCTATTGTGATAAGCACTATTTGCCTTCTCTAAACCCGGGCAGAAGAATTTCAGATCACGATGGTTTTCCTACTTCCCATCTTTGAATTGGACATATTTTGGTGAGGTTGAGGTAATTTATAAATGAATTAATTTCTGTGGATTATGCCAAGTTAATATCTAACACTACAATATAATTCTGTTCTGGTGACAGGTGGCCAGGCGTTGGGGCATTCAGAAAAACAGGCCAGCTATGAACTATGATAAACTTAGCCGTTCCCTTCGCTATTACTATGAAAAGGGAATCATGCAAAAGGTGAGCAACTACTCTATCATTAACATTCATGTTGCACATTAATCTGTCCATCGTGCTTTAAAAGACATCTGTCATGGCAACACTGCAGCAAGGTTTCTAGTCATTCAAACACATACTTAGGACTTGGTTCTGGTATTCTAAGCTTCTCTGTTGACAAGTTCATAGGCACTGAAGACAGATGTGTAATAATTTTACACACAACGCAGTAGTCTTTCTAGAAGTTTCTACCAGGTAACACATATATATTTTTTGAAGATGGTTTTGGTGTTGATGTTGCATATGTCTCTCGAGGAAAACTTAATATTCTGTTGTATATATTTTTGAAATGTTTTTATTTGAAATGCTTTTATATAAAGAATCTGATGCAAATTAAAAAAAACTTAGATAATGTAATACCCCTTCCCTTTTTGGTTCTTCTGATTTATAAAATATTCAGACATCTCTTGCTCTTGTTAGGATAGTAATCTTCTTTCTTGTTTCATATGTTGTTTGATTTTATCACCTCATAGTTCAATATCCTAAAGCACTCATTTAAAATAAATATTCAGCCTTGGTTGGTAGAACAAATTCATTATATTTTATTTTATATGAATTACCTTTTCATATTTGAAAGTTACTTTTTCTTAAATAAAAAAGGAAGAGTAGAGAAAACAAATAAATGACTCAACATATTTGAAGGAGTTAATAAGTAAAAATCAAACACCTTTATATTTGTTATTATGGCTCTCAGCTTCGAGTGACATAATAAAAGTATTTTTATATACTTTTTTTTTGACTAGGAATGATTTATCCGGTCAATATAATTAGAGTATGAGTACTGTCGCTGACAGATCTTTTGGGGCTTTCTCTTTATGACATAAGGAAGGATAGATTGTTTAATAGGCATATGTGCAAAGCTTTTAGTCTACTTGTAGCCAGCATGACCAGCAGAGGCTCTTATAATTTTTGCAGTCCCATTTATCCTTCCCCGTGGCTGGTCCCAGACATACTTGACATTCCTCCAGTGTGGTGAATCCCCAAACCTTGTCATCATTGTCAATATATGAAGCATTCTGGAAGCTAAGTTCTAGAAGTCAGTAAGAGGAACATAATGCCATTAAAAAAATGTTGCAAGATTATGTATTTCACTGCATAAGGAGAAATTCATATTACCATATTTGGTCTTTGACTTAAAACTGTATGTGGGAATATGTAGTGTATATTAAAAAAATCAAATATAAAACTGAAGAGTAAAAAATAACCAATTTAATCTATGCATGAGAAACATTCTTTATTTGTAGGTTGTGGGGCCTGAACTCTGGACCTGGGCTCTGTTCCTCAGCTCTTGAGCTCAAGGCTAGCACTCTACCACTTTGAGCCACAGCACCACTTCTGGGCTTTTCTACTTATGTGGTGCTGAGGAATCGAACCTAGGACCTCATGTGTGCAAGGCAGGCATGCTACCACTGAGCCACCTTTCTAGCCCCTGAAACACTCTTAAAACCTCATTTTCTGTACATACAGAAGAAGAGAGAGATAATCCAATACAGCAATGCTTTTGTTGTACCTTGTAGACAACAATGTGTATGCTTCTCTTTCAAAATTTAAGATCCTTACACATCACCCTGCATGAGAATCAATTCAAAATGGATCAAAGACCCCAACATAAGGCCAAATACCATGAAAATATTACAAGAATACGTAGGAAAAACTACGGGCTCCTAGGCACACTTCAAAACTTCCTAAGATCCAGAATCACAACAAATCAAAGAAAGACTAGATAAATGTAATTGTACCAAACTAAAAGAGTTTCTGCATGACAAATGACATAGCTAATTAAAGAGAAAGCTCATAGAACAGGAGAAGAATTGTATTGGCTATGTATTAGAGAAGGGCCTCATATCTAAAATATACTAGAGCTCAAAAAATTAAACCCTCCAAAAATGAACTCAAAATTTTAAATATCAACACCAATATTTTAACAGCAGTTATATTCTGGATGATATAATTATCTGTCATTGTTTCTTTTTGCCTAATTGGTCATTTATAATTTAGCACCTAATATTCTCGAGTTACTTTTGAAATTTTAAAAATTAACCAAGGCTTAAATACCTACTCCTCAGAAGCACAACCTTTTTATTTCTCTTTGTTCACTTCTGATTCTCATAAAATTCCTGTCATTTCCATCTCAGTATTAATATATAGCCCTTTTCACATTTTGATACATTAATAATAAGGGAAGACATCATTTCTTCTTGTTTGGATGCCTCTTATTCTAAACATACAATATTTAGTACAAGCCAACAAATACAGTTTTATATATTCTGTATGTATACATAAAACATACATAAAATGTGTGTGTATGTGTATATATATATATATATATATATATATATATATATATATAGTGTATATAGGAAAGGAAAATGGAAGGCAATCCAGTGAGTAAAGGTAGTCTTAAGAGAATAGTTTTTATTGTTGTTTTGCTTTGTTTTTTGTTTTATCCCCATGCTAGTACTGAGGCTTGACCTCAGGGCGTTGCTTGGCTTTTTACACTCATGGCTGGTATATTACTACTTGAGCAATATTGCTACTCCTGGCTTTTTTTTTTTTTTTTTTTTGTCTGGTCGTGGGGCCTAAACTCTGGGCCTGGGTGCTGTCCCTCAGCTCTTCAGCTCAAGACTAGTGTTCTACCGCTTGAGCCACAGCGCCACTTCCAGCTTTTTTCTTTTTGCTTATGTGGTGCTGAGGAATCAGACCCAGGGCCTCAGGCATGCAAGGCAAGTGCTCTACCACTGAGCCACCTTCCCAGCCCCATCCTGGCTTTTTGCTAATTGAGTGGAGATAAGAATTTTGGAGATTTGACTGTTCAAGCTGGGCTATGAGCCAAAGTTCTCAGATCTCAGCCACCTGAGTTACAAGTGTAAGCCACCACCACCAGAATAAGGTTGTATCATCTTGAAAACATGTTATGCATTTAAATTCCCCAGGCTGAAAAGTTTTGCATTTAATACATCACACTTAATTTTAGCCATGTCTAGTCAAAAAAGATCCAGTACTTAAAACAGATATCTCTCTGCAGCTGCAAACTAAGCAATGTATGTTATAAAACATGATGAAATGTTGAGATTACTTATTTATTCATTTTAAGCAATGAATGAAAAAGGGAGAAAGTAAGGTTTATTATCTCTATTTATTCCTGATATTGCTCAGGGCATTTGAAACAGTTCAGAATTAATTTCCCTTGAATAAAAAATATAGTAAATGAATTGTGGCTGAGATCCTCTGTTTACCACACTTTGTTCTAGAAACAAAGTTATGTTCTAGTCTCATAACTCTTTCTATCTCCAGTTCATCAGATAGGGATCTGAGGGCTAGTTGAAGAAAGATGTCTCATGTCAGAAACACTAATAGTCACAAATACTCTTACTGGGAAAATTTAGTTTACTTGAACTTGCTGAGATGGTTTCTTTTACTTAAATTTAGGACACAAGATTGTTCTAAATCTGAGACTACAACAGGATTGTTTCAGGCTTTTGAAATTTCAAGCTGCACACACACACACAGAGACATACACAGACATAGACACAGACACAGACACACACACACACACACACACACACACACACACACACGGTAGAGGAGGGAATCAGGGAAGGGGAGAGAGACAGAGACAGAAGAGAAAAAGACAGAGAAGAAGAGATTTACTGCCAAAATTAATGCAACAAATGCATCTGTCCACTACTGCCTTTCCCCAGACTTTCGAACCTCTCAACATTGTGCATTAATGGGAGATATGTTTATGTCATCCAAATTCTTTATAATTTTCTATAAAAGCATTACACTTCAAAATTTAAATTTGGGGCATGTGTCTCCCTACAAATTACACCACATGTCCTTTATTTCAGACACTTGTCACATCTTTTTTTGCTCATTTCCTTCCTATGCTGTGTGTATTTTAGATTCTTTTCACTATTTTTACACCTCTTACTTCAATTTGACACTTTATATACATCCTTAAGTTCCATCTTTCTTGACTTCATTTTTTAAAGCGATGTTCCTAGAATAATGCTATCCTCTTGATCTATCTTTCATTTAAATAGGGCTATATATCTATTCTTTTTTTTAAGATGAAAAAACAATGCAAAATAGAAAAGGAAGAAAAACAATTTTACCTTGAGAATCATTGAATCACCCATCTAGTCTTATCAGGAACAAAACACATTTTTCTTTCTGTAGCGTAAGAAGTAGTGGTGTTGTTATTTTAATACTCTCTTAGAAATGTAAAGATAGAAACACCATACCTTAAAGATACAGATTTTTAAATTATAGATATCTCCCTCAAAATAAATTTCCCTGTGTGAAAAAAATTTCTGAAGTGAAATGATTGCATTAAAATCATCACTCTACCCCTCCCCCCACAAAAAGTTAACAGCCTATGTTCACCTTGATGTCAAAAGGAGAAAACAGCTGTTTTCTACCCATATCTAGAATAAATAAATTATTACTCAAGGTCAATAATTTTGTGTTTCTCTTAAGATTTTGATTTGCTTGTTTTATTTTTGCTGTTGTGCCAATACTGGGGCTTGAATTCTGGGCCTGCATGCTATTAGCTTTTCAGTTGAGGCTTATGTTCTACTTCTTGAGCCACAGCTCCGATTTCTGGCTTTTTGGTGATGAATTGGAGATAAAAGTCTCCAATTAATTGGACTTTCCTGCCCCCACTGGCTTTGCACCGTGCACTGCCATCCTTAGTTCTCAGACTCTTGAGTAGTTAGAATGATGGTGATCACGCCACTGGCACTGGACTGTTTCCTAGTTCCTAAGTGAGGGTTGTGTTTTGTTTGTTGAGGTTTTGGGATAAGTGTCTCTTTTCTGGTATATTAACTATGTTTTCCACTCCCTTTCCCCACCCCTCCCTGTGTGCGGGGATGGTGAGGATGGGTTTTTCTCTTCCACGTTACACATAAGGTGGCTGGAGAGAGATATGTCTACAAATTTGTGTGTGATCCAGAAGCCCTGTTCTCCATGGCCTTTCCAGACAACCAGCGCCCACTGCTGAAGACGGACATGGAGCGTCACATCAACGAGGAGGATACTGTGCCCCTGTCTCACTTTGATGAGAGCATGGCATACATGCCAGAGGGCGGCTGCTGCAACCCGCACCCCTACAATGAAGGCTACGTGTACTAGCACAAGTGACAGTCACGCAGGGTGGCCTTCCTCGTGCTCCTCCTCCTTCTGCAAGATGCAGAGAATCACTGAGTTCTCTTCAATCTCTGTTTTATTTTTGTCGTTTGTATTTTATTTTTTAAATAAGAATACAGAAAATAGGCTTTTCCTGTTACATGATTCTATGGTCTGTTATGGACTGCGCACTTTATTTGTGGGTGGGCGGGAGGGTTCTAAACATTTATTCTGTGTAACAGGAAGAAGGTGGGTGAATAGGCAGGGGATGTGGTGATTCCTTTTTACTTAGGCTAGGGATGGGTCTCCTACTGGTTTTAAGGATGATGAAGCTCTATCATGTCTCTTTGATTTCATAATAACATAAGGTAATGTTCATTTTTCTCTAGGTATCTATGGTACAGCTCATTTGACGCGTGTAAATATCCACTTGGAGACTATTTGCCTTGGGCATTGTTTTCCCCATCATTAATGAGTCTCTGCAGGTGTACAAAAAATATCTACTGTAAATGACAGTTTAATTGTTAGAAATGACTGTTTTTGCACCTCTTGTAAAAAAAAAAAGGCATTTAGTGACTGCATTTGTCATTTTGTTTTGTTTTGTTTACTTTCTCTATGACTTGCAAAAGATAACCATAAAAATGGTTCATCCTCTTTGAAGTTGCATATTCACCATGACTGTACGTGAGGGGAGGCACAACATGATTTTGGACTCTGGCTTCTGAGTCACAGGCCATCAGCATTACAACGATCTAATGCCACCTTGCCGTTTAGGTACAAATCATCTTTTAAAGATTTTGCAGCCCATTTCAGTTGACTACTACATGTCATGGTCCTTTGTACTCTTGAGTTAACTGTTAAATCTGGGATCACACTGAAGCAAAAAAAAAAAAAAAGAGAGAGAGAGAAAGAAAAAAAGAAAAAAAAACCTGTCTCCTTTCAGTTCCTTCAGTGCATAAATACATTATTTAACCAGTAAGAATTAACTGTACTAAATCATCTATTACGCTGTTCTCCTTACAGCAAGCACTCTGTAAGAAAAATATCCACTACACTAAATAGGTACTATAGTAATTTTTTTAGACATGGTACCCATTGATATGCATTTAAACGTTTTACTGCTGTGTTATGTTGATAACATATATAAATATTAGAGAATGCTAATGCTTCTGCTGCTGTCTTTTCTGTAATATTCTCTTCCATGCTGAATTTACTATGACCATTTATAAGCAATGCAGATATAACTACAGATAGCATTTCAGGACAAAATAGATGACTCAAACCATTTATTGCTTAAAAATATAGCTTATGCTATGCTATGCTATAAAACAGCTTTTCTGCACAGTGACAAATGAAGAGTAAGCTTCAGCTTGCTAAGGGAAACTGTGGAAAATTTGTGATGTTGGCAAAATGGAAAATTATTGACAAATTGTTCAAGGACATGAGGACATTGCTGTGTGCCATAGTGCTGGCACTGACCATGATCTGTCATCTCGGTTGGGACATTCCTATGTGATTGGGTTGTTTGAGAGAAGATTTAAAGATCTGGAGTTTCAAATATTTTGTTGTTTTGTTTTTTGTTTTCCATTTAGAGAAAATATTAAAAGCAGGAAATGTTGTTCCATTCACTCTGAAAATAAAAAAAAAGTAAATAATGTGACAGTACCACTGAGTAGCTTAAAAAAATCATGCAAAGAACATCATTTTTGTTCAATCCATTTTAGAGAACAGCTTATTTTAATCTATATCAAAGTGATTTTTTAAAAAAATCCTTAAACACAAAGCTAAAACAGAGTTATGGATGCATTTCATGATGCCCATTAGGTTTGTATAAGAGAATCCTTCAACTATTGATTTTCCTACACGACACAAATCATAGCTGTTCCTCTAGATTGAACAGTTATTGAGAAACCTACTTATCAAAATCAGTACCTTCACATTCATTTCTTCAAATTACTTCTGATTCCAATTATGTGTGTAACTTGTGATTTCAATGACCGTTCTACATATACATACACATACTTATATGTATATATACACACTTATGTGTATACACACACATACACAAACATATATCATTCATCATTTGGTCCATTGGGCCAATAAGTATGCCTTAATATCAAAACTCTCCTTGTCTCTCCCCCACCTCAAACATACTACTCATGTGGCCATTTACAGCACTTGGAATAAAAACATTCAAAAATAAACAGTGAAATTTTTTATCGGAAAGAGAACCAAGATATAGGATTGGGCTATTTGGTGAAATTGAAGGACAAATTTTAAGTGGGTCTTTAGGTACATTCTAAATAAAACAAAATCTTAGTGAGTTTGTTTGTTTTCCTTTTTTTCTTGTTCTTTTATTTCTTTTTAATATCCTAATTAGTCTAGTTGGTCAGTGAGGATGAATTGGGCCATGAGTTATCTTAAGGGATCAAAGGAAGAAATGGTATTGATTATATGATATTTAAGGACAAACTATATGTATATTGCTGTCAAAAGTAGTAACTCACTGATGAAACAAGTAATTGGCCAGCATTAAGTGTATTTCCAATACAGAAGGTTTCAAAATATTGCATTATAAATTCTTAAGAAATGTATCTAAAGTTTTATTGTTAAAGTCTGTCTTCATTCTACATTTTTGTTTGGTTGTTGTTTTATTTTTTAATTTTCAGGTAGATTAATAAATCTGGCAGCTGATTTCTGCAAGATTCTTGTGTTTTGAATTTCAAATTGAACTGGCTTATCAAACGTAGAAAGTAACCAGTGAAAAGAGTGTTTTCCTATGACAGTGAAAATAACTTAAACTACTATCTCACTAATGTTTGCTGCCTCTTCTTTATAACATGCTAATATCTGACAAATTGATTACAACCAATAGTATTATATCCCAAATAATTAATGGAAAATGATTATTTTAGTAAGAAATACCAATTAAACAAATGCTTCTAAACAAAATATCCACAAAGCTGACAGTTTAGAGCATCTTTCTCAAATCATAAAAGCATCTTAGAGGTCTAGTTTTCTGTAGATATGACAACAAATTGCAACTTAAGTAACTCAATATGAATTTATCTCCTTATAATTCTGGAGAATACATCCAAAATGAGCATTAAGGAGCTAAAAACCAAGATGTCACTAGAGCTGGTCCTTTCTGAAAGCTCAAGGGACAGTCCTTGCTTCTTTCCCATCCAGAGCTGCTAGCATGTCTTGGTGTCTGTTTCAATCATTAGTATCTTTACTTTTCTGCTCTCCTCTCCTTCATTTTCTTCTAGGCATTATATTTAGAATCTACCCAGAAAACTGAGGATAACCTTCTCAGGGAGATTGTTAACCACATGGGCCAAGTCTGTTTTGCCAGGCAAACTACAAACCGGTTTCTAGGATGAGGATGTTTCTGGGATTAGGGTTGGATATGAAAAGGGTACTACTGGGGGGAGCTGTTATTCAGCCTGTGTGGGTGGCTATTTACCCCATAGATCAGGACCTGGTATAGAAAAACAATGTTAATTCATACTTCCTGGATGAAAAAGAAATGGGGGAGCTAAGATTAGAATATCCTGAAGAATATTTTGTTAATTTACCATTGATATATCCCCTCCCTTAATTTATGTAAAGAATTTTGAACACTTGTTATATGTTCACCTATTCCATTAGTTTTACTATTGTCATATGAAGTTTTAACATGAGTTAAATCTTTTTTTCTCTCCAGAAAGGCACTATAGAATGGCGGGGGGAGTAGAATGAGATAATAACTTTAATAGTACAGTTAAGGGCTGGGAAGGTGGCTCCGGGACAGAGCGCTTGCCTTGTATTTATGAGGCCCTGGGTTCCATTCCTCAGCACCACATAAGCAGAAAAAGCCAGAAGTGGTTCTGCGGCTCAAGTGGTAGAGTTCTCACCTTCAGCTCAAGAGCTGAGGGACAGAGCCAGGCCCAGAGTTCAGGCCCCATGACCGATCCACCCCCCCAAAATAGTACAGATTATATTTTAAAATAAATCTTTGAATGTTAATATGAGTCATTACTTTATGATCTTAACCTTTCCAAATTATTACTGGTTGTGCAGTGAGACCAATATATGCAATATGTCTCTGGTTAATTAAAGGAACAATAACACAAATAAGTCCTATTATTCATTAAGTTAATTATTATTATTGATAAATAAATTTATTGTCTAATGTTATCTATTTGGACAGATCATAGGAGTTTCTAAAATGAGTCACTTTGTCTATCATGCAAGCCTGGTTAGAGCTTTTAATGACAAAACATTATAGAGAAAGTTTCTTTCTTGGAAACAAAAAAAGAGAACTAAATTTTAAAAATAAATAATGGCTAAAGACATGGATCAAGTGGTAGAATACTGACTAGCAATTGCGTTCAAGACTTTGAGTTCAAACCCTGATATCTCCAAAAATTAAGTGAATAAAGTAAAATGTAAGAATGAGTAAGCTACTTTTCCAGTTGCAGTGTGGTATGGAAAAGGGGGAAAATCGAGTAAAAAATACAAAGGGTGTAGAAATAGTGACAGGAGAAAACTGAAGAAGACAAATGTATATATTGCACAACTGTGATTAAGAACTGCATAAAAGCCAGGGTTCAGGCTGGTGTCCAGTTGCTCACACCTATAATCCCAGCTTTTCAGGAGGCTGATACCTGAGGATCAAGGTTAGAAGGCAGGACAGTTCATGAGAAAGCCAGAAGTGGAACAGTGGCTCAAGTGGTAGAGTGCTAGCCTGAGCACGAAAGTTCAGGGACAGTGCCCAGATGCTTAGTTCAAGCCCTGAGATTGGTATGCATATGCATGCATGCACACACACACACACACACACACACACACACACACACACACACACAGAAGCCACATAACACTGATATATTTGATCCTTGGAGCCCTACTCCTCTAGCTGGGTCCATATGGCTGCTTCTTGAGGTTCTTGGAGATTTAATTTACTGAGAGCTCTACTAGTGATTTCAAGGCTGGATTATTATTATTTTATTTTTTTAACATGGGATTGACAGGCATTTTAAAAATGGTTTATGGAAAAGTATAGTTTAACAAGAAAATTTGATTAGACTATTGGATGCCTTCATAGATGATTTTAGATTATTAAATTAAAAATGTGTATACAATAGTTTATTCCTGTTAGGTGGGTTTTCTTTTTGCATATAGAGTCTAGTATTATTTAGTTCCATTCTAAAATTGCATTTTTCTATGGGAAAGAAATACGTTGATTGAACTGATTGTATTAAAATTATACTTATGGTTTGAGAAAACATGCTATGGAATTTGTGTGATAATACCATATTAACATACTCAACATTTAAATCTAAAATGAAAGCCCACTGACAGAAAATATTGGATTGTTGTGATCACTCTGAATAGTGACACATCTGAAAGGAATATTATCTAAATTGTTGACTGACTTCCAATCATCTTTAATAATTTATTACTCAATCACTTGAGTAATGTCTTTCCACCACCTTCATTTCCTTCGTTCATTCATTTTCTGGATAACTTAGGTAACTAGGTACCAGCACACTTAATAATTTTTTTTTTACTGGTTCTTTGTTAGCTCTCTTAACTGTTCTTTTATTTTATTTATTTACTTATTTATTTATTAATTTTTGTGCCAGTCCTGGGGCTTGAACTCAGAGCCTGGGCACTCTCTGTTAGCTTTTTTTTTTTTTTTTTTTTTTTTTGCTGAAAGCTAGTACTCTACGACTTGAGCCACAGCTCTACTTCTGGCTTTCTTGGTGGTTAACTGGAGATAAGAGTGTCATGGATTTTGCTTCACAGCTGGCTTTGAACCTCAACCCTAAGATCTCAGCCTCCTGAATAACTAGGATTACAGATATGAACCACCAGCACCACCTTCTTAACTATTCTTTTCAGTAAGACTTCTTCCTGAAGGAAGAAAGAATTACATAAACTATTTTCACATCTCCTCTAAACCAAGCACCACGAATACATGACATATTATTATTTCCATCCTATCACGGTGTGTCTAATAAGAAATTGAAGCCAAAGGCAAAAGCAAAAGAACATTATAAAATGTCACCATCACAGGAAAATTCATAACTTGGATTTACTAGCTTTCTTGATTTATCTCCTATAACAAAACCACCTCTCAGAGTGACTCATGTTTGTCAGAAACATGTTTAGCTTTTGTTTTTTTTACCAGTTGAACACTCTTTATAGTAAAATCTATAAACAGCAAAATAAATAGCAGCAACAAATCTTTAGAAATTGAATTAACAAGTATCACTTTGGTCTTTTTCTTTAGAGTAGGGTACAGCTGTACTCATATACTCTAAGAACTATCCAGGCTGCTCTATGACTTAGAGTGTAAGTCATGGCTTCTGCAAATATTGACGTTCTCAGAAATCTTTTGATGCACAGAGCTTTCAAAGCCATGTGTCTCAGAGGGAATAAAAATTTGCTTTTAAATTGTATAACTGAAAACCCAGAAACATATCTATATATAAATACTATATCTCTGCCAACAACAGCATTATTACATATAGTTTATCATCACAAGTAACACCAGCATTCTTACATATAGTTTATCATTGCTAGTAACTAGTAAATATATATATATATATATATATATGTATAGTATCATCATAGTAACAATAGATAGTTAAAATGAGAATTTAGCTGGCAGAAATGGTAGGAATTAAAAGTGCTATAAAAATGTATATAACATTACGTTTTAAACTGCAAAATACTTTTATTTTTGATGAACCACAGAGACAGTTTTCCTTATTCTTAAAAATAGCCTTGGGAATTAAATTGTTTAACTTAAATTATCTGTTCTTTGTGGAAAAAACTTTGTAGTCAGATATATCTAACATGAAATCTGTATTTGAATCATTTTAAATCATTAAGTAACATCAATTACATTCATAGTTTTGTGTACCCATCACTACCTATTTTCAAAAAGGTAAAATTCATATTCTTAATCTTAAGATACTCTAGGAGACAGTTACATATTAGAATCAGAAGTGTAAAAAGTACCATTCTGAGCCAGGCGCCGGTGGCTCATGCCTGTAATCCTAGCTACTCAGGAGGCTGAGAACTGAGGATCGCGATTCAAAGCCAGCCCTGGCAGGAAAGTCCGTGAAACACTTATCTCCAATAAACCACCAGAAAACTGGAAGTGGCGCTGTGGCTCAAGTGGTAGAGTATCTAGCCTTGAGCTAAAGAGCTGAGGGACAGCGCCCAGGTCCAGAGTTCAGGCCCCATGACTGCCAAAAAAAAACCCCAAAATAGAATGGTACTTTTTTTTTTTTTCGGTCTGTTGTGGGGCTTGAACTCTGGGCCTGGGCACTGTCCCTCAGCTCTTCAGCTCAAGACTAGCGCTCTACCACTTGAGCCACAGCGCCACTTCCGGCTTTTTCTTTTCTGCTTATGTGGTGCTGAGGAATCGAACCCAGGGCCTCATACATGCAAGGCAAGCACTGAGCCACCTTCCCAGCCCTATTTGCACTTTCTCTACCATCATTTAATTTTAGTTAAAACCTTGAGGACTTCTTTAAGTAAAAGAGAAACAATTGTTTTCTAATTTTCCAAATGTCTTAAAGATTCCTTTTTTTTTTTGGTCAGTCATAGGACTTAAACTCAGGGATACTATCCCTGACCTTTTTTGCTCAAATTAGCACTCTACCACTTGAGCTACAACACCACTTTAAAGATTCCTTATAAATTT